ATTGATTTGCTCAATCCTAATGACAATGATGAACAATGAAATGGGGAAATGGTAGGTGCAGAGGTCTGTAGCTCTCTGCAGGGAGATGCACTCTGGATTTATCTTTGCTTCACACCAGGTCCCAGCACTGCTGAGCATCTCCAGCAACCTCAACCTCCTGCTCCCAAACCTCATCTCCCTTATCTCAGCTTTCCCTTGCTTTGGATCTGCCTGAAGGACTCCCAGGAGATCCCTCAAAGGCATGGCTCTGCTGTGGGGAAACACCTGGGATGCTCAGTACCAAAGCAAGGTGGGAGCATGTGTCCCCCTGAAGCTACATGAGAGGATGATCTCTACCTTGCACATGCAAATAATTCCAAAGGGGAAGCAAGGAAGGAGCACTCAAGGAAGAACACTCAAAAGGGAGGATCAGGCACCAGTAACCACTCCCAATACCCATCCCTTCAAAGCCAGCCCTGACACCTCCTCTGAGCCGTACCTGGGTCCTCACGATGGTTTTGATAGCAGCTTCAAACTCTTCAGAGTTATTGTAGTCGACAGTCCACACATGTGGCTTCCCAATGAAGTCTTCAGCATATGGGTGTTGGGAGGATACCTAAACCACAGCAGAATGAGCTGGTTTCTGCAGTCCCTGCCAGAATGGCTGCTGTCTCCCCCCCACAGCCACCACAGCAAAGGAGCAGCAGGCTCAGGCACAGAGACATTGGGTTTTAACCCACTGCACATAGAGATGTGCTGGAAAAAGGTTTTCCCTGAACCCAGCTGCCCCCCAGCCTCAGGCTGATGGTCTAAAATTCCCACTGAGTTGGGATGCCCATTCCCATCAACACTGAAATCATCTCCACAGACGTGAGTACCTACATAATATGGGTACAATTTAACCTTGACCTGAGCCATTTGTGGATCTGGAGTGGCAAAAAAAGACCAAGCCAACAAAGGTCTGTGAAGGCACCATATATCCCAGGTTTGTCAATTCCAGAAACAAGGCAGAGAGAAAATGCATCACCACCAAAGGCTAGGGAAGTCTGGCAGTGCTGAAAGCTGCATCACCCCAATGTCACAAGCACTCTCATACACTGGTACCTCACCTGCTTCTCACCGAGTGATTTTGGGGGATCTACCTCTTGTTTCAGCCCCTAAACTGCCTTTTCAGTCCCATGGTGCTGCAGAACCAGAGCCCAGATCTCTTCTTGGAAAGGGAAGTGAGAGGATGCTGAGCAGAGGAGGTGTTTTGGGGGCACCGTGAAGTGTTGAAGAGGAGCCTGAAAACCTGCCAGCTGGAGGAGGAGAGCACTGCTTGCTCTGTATTTCATTCTCCAGCTTGCTGTCCTTTCCCATTTTTTCCCTGCCAGTTGATCACTTGCTTCCCCTCAATGTATAAACACCCTGGGGCAATTCACAACCCTTGTCCCCAGCTTCCCTCCTGGCTCCAGGCTGAAATATACAACCACAGCACCCAGCCGGAATGGGGGATAACACCAGCAGCTAATTAGGGGGTGCATGGGACAAACATGGGGGTCCAGGACATCCCAGTGCCCCACTTCCTGTGATGGGTGATGGCTGAGCTGGGCTGCTGAGCCACACAGTCCCTCAGCAAAACCCTTCTTGGTGAGAGTGAGCATTGCTCTGCATTATCCATATTATCTACTTTATTAATAATAAAAGAGGCAATTTTCTCAACCCTTTAACTTTTTTAAAGAGTTCCTGCTTCACTTAGATCAAATTCCCAGTGATAGGCAAGCCTGGAGGGATTTCATATCCCTGCACCACCACCGAGGTCCTGGTGTCCCCTGGATCTACAGAAGGATGAACAGGGGACCATCACCCTGGTTTGGAAGCAGGGTATTGGGGGGTGTGTGCATCTGGGCTGATGGGTAAAAAAAAGGAGTTGGGGTTTGTCATCTGTGGTCTGCAGAAGTCTCCTGCACCACCTTCACCTTTGCAACCCCAAATCCACAGCAGGGCTCCTTGCATCCAAGCACTTAGATGGACGGGAGAGGGGACCCCATGTGCAGGTATCTGTACTTCTGCATTTGGAGATGAAAATTATCTCACAGAAATCCAGAGTGGTTTGTGTTGGAAAGGATCTTCAAGCTCATCCAGTTTGAAGCCCCTGCCACGGGCAGGGACACCTTCCACTAGAGCAGGTTGCTCCAAGCCCCTGTGTCCAACCTGGCCTTGAACACTGCCAGGGATGGGGCAGCCACAGCTTCTCTGGGCACCCTGTGCCAGCGCCTCAGCACCCTCACAGGGAAGAGCTTCTGCCTCAGAGCTCATCTCAATCTCCCCTCTGGCAGGGTAAAGCCATTACCCCTTGGCCTGTGTCCTGACAGGCCCTTGTCCAAAGCCCCTCTCCAGGTTTTCTGGAGCCCCTTTACGCACTGGAGCTGCTCTAAGGTCTCCCCTTAAGAAGCCTTCTCTTCTCCAGGCTGAACCAGCCCGCTCTCAGCCTGGCTCCAGAGCAGAGCTGCTCCAGCCTCAGATGCTCCCTTGGAGCATCTCAGTTTAGCCACCGGGCCTCCATGGGCTGGCCCCCCACCTTGGTGTGAAGGGGGTGGCTCCATCCAGCCCATCCATACACCTCCTGCAAGACTTGCCTCTCTTGATGTCGGCTTCCCACGGAAGAACTCATGGTTGAGGGAGCTGTGTGGGGGGTTGAAACGCGCCTGCAGGAAAACGCAGCCGTTGGCAATCGCCTCCAGTGGAGCAGGACCCTCATAGGGGAACCCGAAGCCAATGAAGAGCTGCAGAGGAGAAACCCATGTGCTGGTGAGCAAACGTGGCCAACCCCATAGGATAGTCTCCAAAGTAACCTACCATTATCCCTCTCTGCTGCTCTCATCCTGCCTCTATGGCAGCTCCACGTGGTTCTGCACCCTGTAGGTTACACGTTCTAAAAATCCTCCTGCCCCACAGCTCACAGCCCACTTGTGCAAGGCAATGGGGTGATCAAGAGCTGCACATTCCCCATGGTGGTTATGACTGGCCCTGTATGGAGAAATACTTTTTGTTTTTTATGGAAAAACACTGTTGCTTTGCCAACACCATTTGCACCAGTGAATCAACATCTTCCCCAGACAGAGCTGAAGGTGACCAGGATGTGCCTATAACCTGCACACTCACTCTGAGAATCCCATTTATTCTTATCACAGCTGGGGTGGGGGGAATCCCCCCCTCCTTAGCCATAAATGAATTAATCAGGGAACTTTGTGCTCCATCTGCAGACAGTGTGCAAGGAGAAACTCATTAGACACATCCTCATTTGAAATTATGTGCTCTGCTCTGCTCCCAGCTAATTAGCTCTGCTGATAGCGCCTGGGAGGAGTACAGATAACAGCCTCTACCCAGCCTGCCTCCTCCTTTAATTGGGTTTTCTTTCTCAAGGCAGCTGAGTCCTCACTGCTGCTGGTTAACAGGATCTGTCCCACTTCCCCCTGCCGTCCTGGGCTCAGCTACAACTTACTTTTCTCCTTCTTAGTAGATGGTGCAGTGCTGTGTTTTCGACTTAAGTCTAAGAACAGTCCTGATAAGCCACCCGTGTTTTTAGCTGTTGCTAAGTAATGCTTACTCCAATCAAGGACTTTTCAATCTCGCACGCTCTGCCAGTGAGGAGGGGCACAGGAAGCCGGGAGGAAGCCGGGAGGTTTCTGCTTGGGTCGGGCTGGGTATCAGTGAGCAATTGTATCCTCTCCCCTTGTTATTTCCCTTATCATTATTATTATTGGTGGTAGCAGTAGTGGTTTGTATTATACCTTAGTTACTGGACTGCTCTTAATCCGTGGGATTTACATTCTTTCGATTCTCTTCCCCATCCCTCCGAGAGCAGAGGGGGAAGAAGAGAGGGAGTGAGCCGGCAGCTGCGTGGTTCTGAGTTACCAGCTGGGCTCAGACCATGACCCTTGCCCACCTTGGCCTTCCTCAGCAGCTGCTGGAACTCGTGCTGTGGCAGCAGCCCATGGTTCTTCACAAACGCTGGGACCTCGGGCGGCCGCTGGGTCTCATAATAAACTGTGCCGTGGATCTCCATGTACTTGTTGAGGATGGCCAGGAACTTATCCTTGCCCTGGGGAGGAAGGCAGAGGTGTGAACTGCACCAGACGATGGACCTGACTCCCTCCATAGTTATGGGAGGGAGATTTAACTTTCAAACTCCTGTCTTGGAGCACCCGCGATGCTTTAAGAAAACCCACAGCAGTGCAAAACCCGCATCCTCCCCTCCGCTTGCCTTGGACACACATCCTGAATCATCCCAGACTCCAAGTGAACCCGGATGGCTGCAGGACCCAGCACCCTGAACCCAGCACCTCCAGCTCCTGCCTTCCCTGCCACCTCCAAGGGCAAACTCCACTCTGGAGCTGCTGAATGAAAGGTTTCGTGGGACTCTGAGGGAAGTTTGCAAAGACCAAAGCTTGCTAACGTCCCCCTGTTCCAACAAGTCTTCTGGACTTTCTCACTCAGGCTTAATCATAGAATAGTTAGGGTTGGAAAGGACCTTAAGATCATCTAGTTCCAACCCCCCTGCCATGAGCAGGGACACCACACACTAAACTATGTCGCCCAAGGCTCTGTCCAGCCTGGCCTTGAACACCACCAGGGTTGGAACATTCACAACTTCCTTGGGCAACCTATTCCAGTGCCTCACCACCCTCACTGTGAAGAACTTCTTCCTTATATCTAACCTAAACTTCCTCTGTTCAAGTTTAAAGCCATTACCTCTTGTCCTACCACTACAGTCCCTAATGAAGAGTCCCTCCCCAGCATCCTTGTAGGCCCCCTTCAGATATTGGAAGGCTCCTATAAGGTCTCCACCCATCCTGCTTTCCTACCTGGAACATTAAGGGGATCAATAGTATTCTTCTTTTGGAGGCTTTCTTCCTTTTGCTCTCCAAAACAGCCTGTGTTTGAACAATTTCTCTACTGCAGAATTATTTTGCTTGGAAAACCACATAGGGTTTTATGGTTCAGAATCCTTTGGATGCTGCATTTTCAGTTCGTTCCAGTGCTGCAAAAGGCCCCAAAAGAGCAGAGACCAGGAGGGAATAATGAGGTATAAACAGAAAATTTGAGAAAACTGTGTATGTTGCCTTAAAGTCCCTCTCAACACTGTATTTTTGCCTTCAGTCACGTATCATAGAATCCCAGACAGGTTTGGGTTGGAAGGGACCTTAAAGCTTATCCAGTTCCATGCCTCTGTCACAGGCAGGGACACCTTCCACTAGAGCAGGTTGCTCCAAGCCCCTGTGTCCAACCTGGCCTTGAACACTGCCAGGGATGGGGCAGCCACAGCTTCTCTGGGCACCCTGTGCCAGCGCCTCAGCACCCTCACAGGGAAGAGCTTCTGCCTCAGAGCTCATCTCAATCTCCCCTCTGGCAGGTTAAAGCCATTCCTCTTGTCCAGTCTCTACAGGCTCTTATCCAAAGCCTCTCTCCAGGTTTGTTGTAGCCCCTTTAGGCAATGGGAGCTGCTATAAGGTCTTCCTGGAGCTGGATATCAATTCCCTAACACAAAGGTCTTGGGATGATGGAGACCCCCTTCCAACCACTGCATCTGAGCTGCTTTAACCCATGGGAGCTGGGCAGCATTTGATGAAAATGGCCTTTCCCAGCTTATTAAAACTTCAGCTCTTGTAAGCCAGAGGCAAGAAGTTCAGAAGGGTAGAAAATGAGAAATAGCAGGAAAGGATGTTTCATGAAATGTTCCCAAATGTCAAAAAGATCCTGCTCTGGAGACAGTGCTTGGTCCAGTGCTTGTAAATAAGCACCTAGCTCCAGAAGATGGAGGTGTTTTTTTTCTTCCTAGACCTCAAAATCACTCAAAATAAGGAAAAGCTCCTCTTCCTGCTTATTCTATCACACAAAGCAATACGCAGGCAGCCTGGCCTGAAGGTACAGTGACAAGCAAGAACCAGCCCCTTTACCCAGTAATAAACTACCCCATATATGCAGTTTTGGAAAAACTGATGCTGTTTGTGAACTCAGGCTAAAAGGATGTCTGTAGCAATAAGGGTGGAGGGAAACGTCTGGTCCGAGGTTTTAAGTCTGTTTAGTGCCTTCCCAAATTAACCTAACTAAGCTCAGATGAAATTTCTGGACAAGAAAGGGTGCGGGAATGATAGAAAATAAAGACAAGATATGCTCCAACCCTGGAGGTGTTCAAGGCCAGGCTGGACAGAGCCTTGGGCGACATAGTTTAGTGTGTGGTGTTCCTGCTTATGGCAGGGGGGTTGGAACTAGATGATCTTAAGGTCCTTTCCAACCCTAACTATTCTATGATTCTAAGATACTACAGTTCCCCTAAAATGAGATGTAGTGGGGTTTAGTAGGTCTTTATGGAGACCCCAAGCTAGCTGGATGCTGGGGGGTTTGCTCTCAGACATGGGAGGTGATGGAAAAGCCACAAACACCACTGAACAGGAGATGTGGCTGGATCCTGGCCCACCACAGGTATCCCTATGAGGGGATGGGGATGGGGATGAGATTGCGTTGATCCAGCAGCTCAGGAGGACTGAGCCTGTAACAAGGCAAAGTCAAGTCCAGCAAAACCTCTTGTCTTGCAAACGGATGCGCAGAGGTAAAGCCCAGCAGTGTGTGGTACAGTACCTGCAACTGGAGCAGCCCCAGGTGGTGCATAAAGGGAAAGAAAGAGAAATAAATCAATAGACAGCAAGAATTACCTCCTTTTTTCTAAGCCCTGGAAGGAAAATCAGCTGGCTAGCTCTGGGTAAGACAGGGCAGTGTACACATGTCCCCTGGCTGCTATAGGGATGCAGGGGGTATGTTTTCTTTTGGTGGGTATTGCCCCATGCATTGACCACCCCTCTTCTACAGCATTACAAGCATTGGAGGGTAGCACATCCCCCTTTCACAGGCTACTTGAAAGCAGAGACCAACCATCCCCATCATAGCATGGGACATCACCTAAGAGCAATCACTGTAATCGACTGCATAAAATGACCAATGTGAAATCCTCAGTCTAAGCAGCCTGCTGGGAGGAAGCACCACCCAGAGCAAAAGGGACGGGATGTCATTAGCCTTTGCCCTGTTGGCCTTGAGGTGCTGGACATGCCACATCACTGCAGCAGCCTCAGCTTCCCCTCTATGAATGGGACAAGGATGTTTCTCCACAAACACACCAAGACCTGAGCCTCAAAAGCTCGGGGTTAGAGCCAGAGGCTTCTACTACCTCACAGCTTGGCCTACAACTGCCCCATCCTGCCTGGGTGCACCCACCTTCCAGATGCTGGCCTCCTTCCCGTACACCACTGCCATGCTGCTCACTTTGTTGGACTTGATGAATTGCCTCTCTGTCTTGTTGAGCTCCTCTGACACGAAGCCCATGAAGGAGTTGTCGGGGGTGTGAGCTGTGGGCACCAAGAGGAGAAGACATGTGGCTGGGCAGATGTTTTCTAGGACCTCATGAGGGTTGAGGACGCAGCCCCATTGCAGCATGGGACTGAGATGAGCCCACCTCCAGAGCCTTGCTGGAGCTTGAAGAAAAAATGGCATGGATCCCCATCCAAGCAGCTCATAAAATACAGGTTTTGGAACTCACTTGAGCGACTCTTTAAGAAGTAAGACATTTTTAAGACTGCCAAATGGGTTTTATCCAGGAAAAAGCAACATTTGGTTCACCCAGCACCCTGGGTCACTGACATAGGTCACTGGGCTCCTTTCGGACATGCACATCTCCTTTCCATGCCACAAATACCAATCACTGAGCTGCCTCTCATCTGTAGACCCCCAGCTGAAATAAAACTAGGCTCTGCAACCAAGGTTGCAAAGCTTTCCCCTCCCAGGACCTGGAAGCTCCTAACTGTGCCCTGTGTCTGGCCATGCCTGTGCTGGAGCCAGCAATCCATGGCAGAGGAAGAAGCCAGGTCTCTCTCCCTGGATCATTTCTATAGCCAAAAGACGGCCAAGCAGATCTGGGTATCACTGGCAGGCAGGAGGATGCAGGAGTGGAGCCGGGGAGGAGATCACTGCCCATGCATCCCCTCCTGACAGAGGTAAGACGTGCTTTTGCAGTGCCTGTGAGCCCTCGAAAGCTCCCCACCGTGCCCCCAATCCCCACTTACGGAACATGGTCATGAACTGGGTGGGCTGCAGGTTCCAGTAGCCCCAGTTGGTGCGGTACCCGCGCAGCGTGGCGTACTCCTCATGGTTGTATGCTGGCTCCGTCCCAAAGGTGTCGATGACCCGGAAACGGCATCTGGGAGGGAGAAGAGGACCCACGGACATTGATTTGAGCAAGTCCCACTACCAGGGACATGTGGTGTCCTCCAGCAGCTTGTCCCTTGTTCGCTCTCTGAGCAGAGGGTGCAGGAACATCCCAAGCAGCTCTTCCCAACCCACTGCTGCCTCCTGTAAGGAGCAATTTCCACTTGCGGGCTTTCATCTCCCTTATAGTCAGGAGAATGATGCACCTCCTGAAGACTTGTTAATGCCCAGTTAATTCCCAGTATCCTGGGAATGCTGAGGCAGACATTACTGGCACAAGACTGAGGAGAGAAGGGGAACATCAAGCAAGGGAAGAGCAAAACAAGCTGAATGCAAGAGCAAATGTATTTATAATAAAAGCAATAACACCACTTGTCATTTTTCTCTCTAATAAAATTGTGTAAGATAGCGGAAGAGAAGGGAGAAAACAAAATAAATAGCAGGACTATCAGCAGTAAATTAAATTGCATATTTTCCTGTCTGGTGATGTACCAGGGGATGATGATATTTTTGTTGATGCTGAAGGAGCCAGGGACGGGGCTTCCTGAAAACACAAAAGACTCATGCCTCCCTCTGTGGTGTGGCCACCCCTGGCTGCAGACTGCAGGCATGGCATGTGGAAACACACACACACTGCAGGCACATGCAGGGTTTTCTTTTCCCAATTCAGTCTCTTTTAATGAGGTTTTATCTCAAACATGTGAGGCTCCAGAGTAAGGAGAACGCCTCATGCCATGATAATGGGGGGCACAGCAAGGCAGAGCCAGGCAGAAATCAAAACATCTGACTCTTTGGACATGGGGACTATCATTAGCATTACTCTTTGCTTGCTAATTAATATAATAGAAAGTAAGAGAAGGGAGGAGGCTTTGCTCACCTGTATTTCTTAAAGGAGAGCCCCATGTGCTGCTTCATCTGTTGAAGACCGTGGTAGTCGGTGTAGATCAGGTCAAAAGGTAAAGGACTGGTCAAGGGGCAGTTTCCCCGTCCTGGAGGCACCCCTAAATGTCTGGGGAGAAACAGGAGGGATCAGGCTTCAGGACCATGACAGCCCTCAACACAAACACTCATCTCCCTGCTAGGAGTTAACAGGGACCATCAACCAGCTCTCTGGTTGATGGAGGGGGAGGCAGATGGTTCTCTTCTCTCTGGTCTTTATTTCCTGGGCCAAAATTCTGAGGTTTTAGTGAGGCCTGGTCCCTCCCCATCTTCGCACTTGCTCCAGCTGGGTTCCTGCTCCTCCCATGTGGAAGATGAGGGTTTTGCACAGCATTCCCAGCCAGGACTCGCCAGCTTCTCATTCAACACACACATTCCCCTAGACCTCTCTTGCCGCAGACACCAGATTTCATTTGCTTTCATTGCAGTCACATCAGTGACAGACTTGTGAAGCCACATCTTCCCCCTCCTCCCTGCCTGCAAGGCTCCCAGCTCAGCCAAAGTCTGTATTCCCAGCACCACACCTCTCCCAGCACACACCATCCACCATTCCTCTCGCTCCAGTGCTTACAGGTGTTACAGGTACCCACCACATCCCAGAGCACCTCAGCTTCTCCTTGACTCTAGGGACACTGCCTGTCCTTAGATGTTGTGCACATTCCATTAACATTTCTCACTTTTTGTCTCATTTATGAATAGATCCATAAAGCCCAAGCAGCTGGACCCTGGGTCTCACTTACTGGCTTTTCAGCCAGTTCCTTACAACAGCCATACTCAGCCCCTCTTCCCTGCTCCAGCAGCTAAAATGCATTATGAAAGTCCAGATAAACTAGATCAGCTGCAATCTCTTTATCAAGTTCATCAGTTACCTTGCTGCCAGGGGGATGTGTGATTAATCTGGCATGATACAAGGCTGGTAAACCTGTGACATGTCTCCTTCTATTTTCAATTACCTCTGTGAATTGATGAATCCTTCTCTCCAAAGCTGTTGCGCTAAGTGTACCACTGATGTCAGCCTGACAGCCCATCTGCTTGTCTGGACCATGTTTCTTCTTTCTCAGAAAAAAAAACGCTTGTGACACCTTCCAGCTTCAGCAGGTTGCTCAAAAATCCTCGCTACATGTACTTGAGATTTGAGTGCCAGTTTGCTCAGAAATACAAATGATCCACCCTTGCTTCCAATGTTCTTGTGGTTTTCTTTCTTCCTGAAGATGTTTTCCTTGTCCTCATCCTCATAACCCCACTCACATTCAAAGAGCAACAGCAACATCCTCATGGAAATCCAAGATGTTGAGCTGATTTGGTCCACCTGGGCTTTGCCCCACTCCCACCATTTCATTGCTACATTCTGATCTGAGGCCTTCTGACAGGGCTGAGGAATGTCTGTTTTACTTTGCAAGCCAGAGCTCAGACAGTGTGAAATCTCACCCTCAGCTCCTGTCTGCCAAGATGTCTGTCTTTGTTTTCTTCTGGGCTCTTCACTTACTCATAGCACCTATGTGGAGAAGGGAATTTACCCCAGCCATCCCTGTATTTTCCTTTTCCTTAGGAATAGAAGGTCCAGCCAGGTTTTACATTCCCAAGCTTTGAAGCTTTCACTCTACATGACCTCTCTTACTGGTTCTCCTAATTTCTCTGCATTTCCTTTTCTGAACCTGAGAATCCTCCTACCAACCCATGGGTTTTATCTGTTGCTCAGCTGAAGCTCAAATGAACCCACAGTCCAAGGGTCCATTCTCTGAGGAGCACTTCCATTAGGTCCTCATCCCTTACCCAGACTTATGACTACGAACAGTGTTTCATCTACTGATCCTATGGCTGATGCAGAGGAAATCCATGGCTCTCCCACCTGAGCAACAGCCAAGTGATGGAGTTATCACAAACATTTGCTCTGCAATCTCTCCCTAGTCTTCACCAACATCACCAAAAGGGATCATATGTAGTCGCTGAAATTGTTTGGCCATTATAGGTACAACAAAGGGCTCTCGGTCTGCTCCTGACCATACCTCCCTCTTGTTCTGATATGGCTTGCAAGCCCTTGAGCACCGGACACCACGATCCTTCTTCCAGCCCCATCCCAACTTGAGACCAGTGAAGGGTCTTCCCAAAACCCTGACCATGACTCCAGAGAGTGACTAAATGTGGAACCACATCACTCACCAAAGCCAGGAAAAACACTGGGTTTCAACTGAAGGTGAAGAGCTGCATTTGCAGCTGTTTCATTGCTCTTGTCACAAGGGATATGAGCTCAGGGCACCTGCCTGGGTCAGCCGCAGGGCAAACATGCCGCTGTTTTATCACTTCTATGCCCAATTTATGTGACATGGCTCATTGGGAAGGTGGCAGGAATGGAAAGGTTCTCACGTTCAAAACCACCCTAGTGTGATAAACAGGGCAACAAGGGAGGCTGAAGGGGAATTTTTAAGCCAGGATTTTATAGAGACACAATACTAACCATCACATTTGCTCACATACATACTGCTTTCTCCTCGCTCATCAGCCAAACCCTCCAACTGTAACATATCTCTTGCAGCGTACCTCCTCCTCTAGCTGGTACCCATCACCCAGGCTGCTGCATTACAAAATCACCTGCAATTTTGGAAAGCCCTAACCAAGCTTGACAAGGAGCTGCGGGTGACAATTAGTGTATCTCATACTGAAGCCTCCAAAAAGCCTTTCCAATGGTTAGGTAAAGCAGATCTGGTTCCCTCTCGTCACTGGGATCTGCCACACGTCCCTTCTCCGGGTGCTCAGGACTTGCCGCGTCCGTTTATACTCCCTGGAGTAGCTCTAAAAGCAGGACTGGCATCTTTGAAGCAGAGCATCTCTCTCATTTACCCCCTTATCCTTCCTAAACACTTTATAACCACTTTAATATTCTGTTCATACAAATCCAGGCTGCACCTCCAAGTGGGGGGAGGGTGTGGATTTTTTTAATCATTCCTCCTTATTTAAACACTCTTTATTCAAGCTTTCATCATTTGCCAGTTAAGTCAACTAATTTTCTACTAAACCCAATTTCACTCATGGTTGGAGTGCAATTTCCCTGATTTTTCCTTGTGCCATGTACTATTAATGGCGCTTGAAATTACGCAAATAAAATTGATGAGCTCAAATGCCTCCTCCTCAGCCAGTGCAGCCAAGAGATTTGAGGCTGAACTGCTTGATCCCAGCTCCTTGAGGAACCTCCCTTCCCAGACCGGCCAAGGATGGCCACCCGCTCAGCACCTCTGGGGTCCTTTGCTGGCATCTCCCGGATCAGTGCATTGTCTCAGCCCTCATTCCTCTTTGGAGGCAGCATCTGAAGCAGCTTCAGTCCAAGCGGATGTAGGCACCGTGTTCGCCTCTGCACCAGCTGTCTCCACCAGCTGTGCCTACTCCAGAATAAATCTACAGCAGCTTCTTGTCCTGCTATTTTCCCCTTATAGGTACTTTAATCAAGCAGGGGATGCATTCCCCTCCCCAGCACAGTGAAGGCTCTAAGAAATCAGATGACTGCAGGGTTATCTTTACATCCCATTGACCCATTTTCAAATTAACCCAATGTTTCCTTCCATGTTATCACTCCTGGGGCTCAAAAGTCCAGCACTAAATGGATCTCAGGGGCATCTGCTGGCAGGCTGGGCCAATAGCCTATATTATATTTAATTGCATCTTCTCTGCCCACATCTGCTGTCATCAACAAGGCAGACTGCAGCAGGGCTCTGTCCTTTTTATTCCCTTGGCTTCCCTCTGTCTACAAGAGCTCAGCAAGCACAGGACCATTATCCAGGGGATGAAAGGAGCCCAAGATGCTCCCAGGGGTCTGCAACAAGCCCATCACAGTCCATTCAAAGTGCAAACCAGAGCCCAGGAGATGAATGCCCACTGCCCCAGCCTCTGCTCCCAGCCCTTTCTCCTGCTAGAAGGGACACAATGACCTCAAAAGTGAGGTTTTTTTCAAGCAACTTTAAGCCATCTGCATTGGTTTTACTTTTGCAATGCACATCTGGACTGTTTCTCTGCCCCATCATCGATCCCGTGTGACACAGCCCTACCCATCCAGGGAGTGAAGTATTTATAACTGAGGTCCAACAAAACCCTGTTTTCCTGTCATTGCAGGATACAACCCTTGCTGGAAACCTTTGCAGCATGTCCCCAGAAGACAGCTAATGCTGAGGTTTTGCTGCTCATCTGAGCAGCAGCAGCTCCAGCGAGTCCAGGCAGGGCTCTGCCAGGAGATCCCATCTGCAAGGAGTTCCATGGGAAGGCATTTTGTCTGGGCTGCAAAGATAAGCCATGTGGAGTGAAGACTGCTGGATGCTTTGCATCCATAAAGAGACTGAAAGCCTCCAGAAACGTGGAGTTAAGAGTCCTACTTGAGGCTGGGTTTGATCCAGGGACTCCTGGCTGGAGCATCTCCGGGTGTGTTGAAACCTCCATCCTCCTTGACCTTGCCATCCCAGATCAACCTTCCCCACACTCCAGGTATAACCTTCTCTCACCTACGGAAACTATCCCAAGAAAGGGAAATAAATACCTGGGCTCCTCTGGGGAGCAGCAGCAGCTGAGCACTCACATGCTCATGGTGCCTGGGCAGACCCTCAGGCAGATGGATGTCCCCTCCTGTCCCAGCAGTCCAAACTGAACAGACAACTTTAGCCAATCTTCATGGGTACCACTACAACAAAGCTGATTTCTACCCATGCAGCATCCCGGTTGCCTGCCTAACACATTCCCTAAGTAAGAGCTGTCTGCTGGAAACGTGTCCCAGTTAAATTACAGACTGGAAAATCCAGTAAAGCCCAGCCACACAGCGGTGTGTCCAGCATTTGTGTAACCTCTTGGTTTAGTCTCCATCATCTCCACAGCCTAAAGGAGCCAACAAGAAATCTGGAGAGCGGCTTTTTACAAGTGCAGGTAGTAACAGGACAAGGGGAATGGCTTTAACCTGCCAGAAGGGAGATTGAGATGAGCTCTTAGGCAGAAGTTCTTCCCTGTGAGGGTGCTGAGGCGCTGGCACAGGGTGCCCAGAGAAGCTGTGGCTGCCCCATCCCTGGCAGTGTTCAAGGCCAGGTTGGACACAGGGGCTTGGAGCAACCTGCTCTAGTGGAAGGTGTCCCTGCCTGTGGCAGGGGTTGGAGCTGGATGAGCTTGAAGGTCCCTCCCCACCCACACCAGTCTGGGATTCTATGGTCTCTGTCTTTACAAGGGTTTGCAGTAGTTGAGTACCTACAATCAGGGGCATCATCCTCAGCTCCCACTGAGACCTGTAACTAAACATCCAGCCTTTCGGAAGCTTGCAATATCCTATACGTAACCATGTCACACATGAACATCAAAGCCTGGCCAGAAAAAGAACAACCCAGCAGCCCTAACAGCTTACAACAACACTCGCTCTCCAGTAATGGGAACGTCTGATTAAAAACTGAGGTTTCCTCCCCATCAGTGCAGAGCTGATAAATCCCACAGTCACACCACACAGCTCCATCAGGACCACACACAGCAGGTCACTTCTGGCTGTTTTCACAAGGAATTCCTGGCTCCCCACACAATGGCAGGACTGTATTTGCCAAATGGCAAGGGAAGGTGAAACTGGGAGCCTGGGCACTGTGCAGGTTTTCACGTGAACAGATGCAAGAAGAAAAATGACTTTTATCTGCCAGGAAATAATTAGAAATACCTTTGTCTGGACATGATGATTCCATCTGAACAGCCCTTTGTGCAGCCTGGATACACCACGATGACTGTTGCAAGGTGTCTGTGATGAGAGTGGTGGCAGCGGGTGCTCAGCTTTGTCCCACCATGCTGCTG